AACTGTGTCACAGTTGTTGATAAGTTTAGCAAAACAGGAAATGGTAGTAATAGTGGAGCAGACAGTATTGAGATGGGAACTAGTTTTCCATGACAGCCACCCCTCTAACATACGCCCTCATAAACCCTTTTTGTTTTCGTTGTTTTACTGTGAAATATCATCAATATTATACGACGTAAAAAAACATAATTTGACATCTTTATGGAGGTATGTTAATATTTGGAAAGGGAACTGTGGCAGAGTCTTATTTCTAAAGTTTTGATTCTGAGGTAACTTTAGAATTTTCTGTATTTAATTTAATTTAATTCAAACATTTAATGACAGAGCCACTATGTTTTGTAAAGTGGACTGATGTCGCCTTTTGTTATGAGACTGAATTAGATGCTAACTAAGATTTAAATTGCCACTACATGTTTGGACTAACCATAAAAATATGGTAAATCAATGGACCGATATTCACATTGAACGTGAGACTTAGGATGCTTGGTGCGCCTATATCATTAGACTTATCATTAATCTGTACCATCCAGCTCTAAACAACACACCCCTCACTACAGGGGTGCAAATACAGCCCACAGATATAGACCCGGACCCAGAATCTTTACAAAAACACTCTTAACTGCTAAGCCTTAGGGAAAAACAGGGCAATGTAACTCTGACATCGTTCCTCTCTGTTTAACACAAAAGAGCAAGTAGAATGTTTAGTGAAAATGTTGTTTGTGCTGTGAATGCAGTTTGGCTAAGAATAGAGTCCACATTTGTTTTAGAAGCAATTCACTTTGACGGATAGCCTAAGAACTGGTAGGACAATATATGATGAGAAGTTTTTCTCTGAATCTGAATCTAAACTGGTGCAATAAGTTTCAGATCATGCAGATGATCAGCTCAAGTCAGTGATGCTGAAAACAAAGTAGAGCACAGCATATCCCACCTGGAGAGGAAATTTTAAACTAAAAATCAGTTGGATCAATAAAATTCAAATTAGAAGTATGATTTAAGAGGATGTTTCAAACAAGTCGTTGACCCCGCTGACCTGACATCCTCAGGCAGCTTGGGAAACGAGTCCTCCTTTGCCTGAGAATCTTGGACTTTGTACAGGGTTGGATGAGATGAAGAACCGGGTTAAATTTAGCACAAAAATGGGCTGCAAAGAGCCATAGAGGTCATGAGCAGGATCTTGTTTGAGGTCAAAAGCAGATGTGTTGTTGCTATCTCTCTGGGGTCTAACTGAAAAAGGGCTTACAGCTGGGTTGTTTACAGTTCGGAGCCTGCAAATGGCTTTTTGAGATTTCAAAATGTACATTGGCCGGAGCTTCGGAAACATTTCCAAGGTGATCACCGACGGCAAACGTTTTTGTTCAAATCTATCACTTCAGACAAGAAACAGATATCCTGTTTGCCCGTCAGTCAAGTTCTTACAAAGATTCAGCCAATGGCGGGGTGTGTTTTGCTGGGTATCGAGGATCATTGATGTTTGTTACTTGAAATACACTGCAGGGAGTTTGGTTTAATCAAGCTGTTGACATTGCAAATGTGATCAGCCGGAGAATTTGCCAGAATGAGAGACTTTGACGGGCTGCTGCAGCTGCATGTCATCAGCATACAGTGGAAGGAGTCGCTTTGTCAAAGCCATGCCAAAACCCCTGAGGGACACGGTGCTTGATTGGAGAGAAAAGGCCAAGATCATGCTACAATACTTTTGTGATGCTGAACACACTGGACGGAGACATAGCTTCATAGAGTTATTGATTTCTGTATTACTGCCTGAACGTCTGTTTAAAGCTTTGAAGCTGTGGAGCCTTTTTTTTTATTTCCTTTGATGCTTCTGTTGATGGGCATCTCCACCCAACTTTAACATGCTTTAACCTACACCCAAAATCAATCAGTAGCTCTCATTTAGGTCAGTGAGTGTTGTGACCGAATATATCTGGAGTACTGTAACATTTGATCATTTAGGACACTGCGTTTTCAAAATATCATGAATTGGCACAATAGAACATGATGAAAACTTATCGGATGTTGAAAGTGAGATATATTTAGCTATTTTAGGACTGATGGCGGCAACACAACAAAGCAGGAGATTCGCTGCTCCTACTCAAGACAAAAACGTCTGCTGAAGTTAAAAAGTGCACAGATTACAAATCCTCGAGAGGTTGATGCACCTTCTTCTGCTTTTTGAATTAATTCCTAAGTATGAAGTCAGATGCTGGTCATTATTTCTCGAATCTATGGAGAGGAGAGACGTCTGCTTTTCATTTGAGTTCTTTTGACATCTCTCAGCATACGGCAGGTATCAGATCGTTAAGAGGAGGGCTTGATTGTTATTCTTCGCAGGTGCCACATCAGCCTGTGACATTTGCATATTTCTGGAAAATATTCTGATTTAGACAAAGCTTACAGGTGTCTCTCTTCATTATATACTGGAAACGTCTGTGCCAGATTGCATTTTGTTTGTGCATTTTCCCTTTTTAAAGCCATTTGCCAGTTTTTATTTGTTAGATATAAAAATGAATCCAAATCAATCATTAATGGACACCTCTCAGTTACCTGGTGAGAAGTGCATCAGCAGAAGAGGTTGAAAAAACAGTGGAACATGGTTTATATTTGTCTGTTTTATATCAAACTAAGGAACTCTGAGATTAACACATTCTTTTTTTCTTTTAAAGACACTGACCACTGGATTCTAACAAGCACTCAGAATGTGACACATGCACTGAGCAAAGAAAGATGATGACCTGTTGACAACGAAATATAAAAAAATGAACAGAGAAAACATGTCAATTAGCAGCTTATTGCTGCTATAATGCAGCTTTAACCGTAATGTAATTAACCACTGTGTAACTATGTATTGCTTGCAGATAACGAAATAACTCATTTATGCTTTCCATTACTGCCGTCCAGATATTGTTAATCTAACATTTTGAATTCTGTTAGGATGTTCCTTGGTTTTGTTTTCAATTTGTCATGCGGGGAACACTCAAAGGGCAAACTCGAATAGGTGCCCAGGGACCCAAGGTACAGGTTTCTTGACTTCACCTGCAAAATAATGAAGGCACACAACAGCTTAATTGGCTGAGAGACTGTGAAGAATCTAGATAAATCATAAAACAACAACAATAAATATGAGGAATTACAATTGGATTCCAGACCTGTCTAATATTCCCATCTACCACCATTATTTATTGTGTTGTGCAAATGGTGAGAGATGAACAGTGTCTAGCTTTCAGGCTTTCAAAGCTCACTACAAAATGTGCCGTTTCCAAAGTAATTTTAGTTAGAGCACAGCTGGACATAACGTTGGAACATTAGATTGTTCTCCTTAATGCTGCGTCTCAAAAGCCATTACGTGCACCGTATCTTTAGGAGGACTCATATGATAAAACACATCCTTCATTAATTCTTCATCAGTTATGCATACTTCTCTTTACCATGCAAGGCCCCTTGAGCCACAAATCCAACTTGGTCGATATAACACCCATTCACACGTGCTATTACACTCTCACACGTCAAACTCTGGTGCATATGTCGTTCTAAGATACGACCAAAGTGACAATTATCCTGTAAACTGATGTGATTATATTTGATTTAATTATCCTATCCAGACAGCTTATGATTTTAGAACGTTATTTTCAGGAGTTATTTCAAGTTCACGGTGTGGGTCTTCTCTCGCAATACAAAGCCCATTGCACCATCTAATGGCTGCAGGATGACATATCCAATGGCCTTTCAAAGGAACACCAAAAGTAGTCTAGAGCCCATGTCGTCAAAATCTATGGTGTAGCCATGGCAACAGCATTAACATCTGCACTAGTGCCTAAAAGATAGATTTTTAGTCTTTGTATTTGTCTCATAGCATCAGCAAAAGGCAAAGTTTATACTTTTAATAGAACAACATCAAAGCTCAGTCATTCAGTAAATGTGCACGAAATCTAATTAAGGTTCAGTGTATCGTTCAGATTGTTTTGCAACAACCAATGACTGGACTGAGATGGGATTTCTCTGATTATACACTGAAACAATCTCAATTTGAACCTATCCTGCTAATACATTTGGATCACCAGAAAAGGCTTGCGGTCTCCTTTTCATGTTTCCCTACTCACTTATTGAGCATTGGCTAAGTGTTGGGTACCAAAGACTCAAAATGAACTTGAATGAGTAGTTAAAATGCTAGCCATGCCACAACTGAGGCTATACATTTTTGCCATGGATTTTGTTGTTAGAAATCATGCGCTAAACCTTGTGCTATTGAATATTTTGGTATTTTGGTTATCAGACGGCTAGAACGTTTGACAAGAAATCCAGCTTTGACAAAACACTTTAACAACCACTCAAGTGAACAATGAATGGCTTTTTATCTGAGCTGTCAGCCTCAAGTTTTCTGCAGTCATCGGGTCAAGTGTAATCTGGTTTGAGAACACTGCCTGCCTCAATTCTGACCAGAAAAAGTCTTTTCATGGTCACTCTTTGACAAATGGTTAAGCCTGTGAAGAGGTATTTGAGTGGAAAGAAAGAGATATCGATTTCTTACAGGGACAAAGAAGATGAACAGAAATCTACCCCTGCACCTACTTTATGATAATTGTGGTGTGACCTTCTTATGTTTTACTGTTTAGAAGTTTTAAACACATCAGCGCTCCTTGTCCCTTTACTTAATCCATGACCTTATTGCAAACAAAATAAAAAAGTATGAATATCTTTTGACACATCAATAAAAACAAGTGTGTATTCAAATACATGGACGTTTGATTGTTTTTTTAAATTTACTGAATTAGGCCAATTTTTTAACAAACTGACCATGTTTTTGTTAGCTGATTAAAATTTTCTGAAGACGTCTGTCAACTTCCAATTAAATAGTTTTCATCATCCCTAATCTTGTATTTTTTAAAACTATGATTGTTTAGATTTTATTTCTAATTAGTTATTTCCTGCTTATTGATAAGACTTTTTCATTTTCTTTCAATAGTTGCTTAAGGTTACATATCATAATAGACAAATCAACAATCAATCATATTCACAAGTTGAGACAGCCTATGTCAAATTATCCCCTTATTCTCACTTTTAAATGCACAGGATTCTTTATTCCCTGACACAAGTACATAAACAAAACAATAGATCAAGACAAATACATCCCACCTGGTGAGAGGATGACAATAATCCCATTTGTATAGTTTATCAGGTTGCCTCCAGGAATTTCCCCAAATGACTCAGATTTATATAGTTGTCACATAAATTTGGCCTTTAGGACAATAATGTGAGATAGATGATGCTCATAACAGGTGGTGGAAATGAAGCCACATACATCAGCATTACTTTGGATAAAGCATCCTCTCACGCTCACACAGCTGCTATCACGGGGGTAATGATGTGTTTATTTTCCTGAGAGGTGAGAAGATGCAAAATTCTCATACAGGGAAATCAATTTAATAATCTTTCATTTTACTTGTGAAGTACTTTATTTTGATCGTCACAAATAACACAGTTTTTAATACAATTTGTTGAAATATATAGTGGCCCTTTGCTTGAAAAAACTGCCGCTTTTGATCATTGCGTTATTCCTTTGTTTCTCACTCAAAAGTCACCACAAAGTTATCTTATTGAAACAGAGAAAATGGAGTTAAAAATGGTAACACATGCCTAAAAAAGCAGTTTTTATATACTGTTAACCTTTAAAAGGGGCAATATGATAAAGCTGTAGCTCTGTGGCCCACGCCTGAAAACTGGAGCAGTCATGATGCTGATTTTAAATATTTTACAGATAAATTCAGTCTGGTGCTGCATCTATAATGCAGAAAATACTATTATAATAATTCTGTTATAACTGCCAAAGTATTTTTTATTCAACTAGTTAACATGTAGTTGCAGTTTTCCATTAGAGACATGCCAATCTTCTTTTTACCAAAAGTCAACAGTCTGTCTTTTATTCTTCTCCTTTAGTCCTGTTAAATTTTGAAACAAAGATCACAAAAATCAAAGGTTAAACTGGCAGTGCTTCAAGAGCATTAAAGAAAATGAATGTGCTTCAGCATTAAAATGGTATGTCTTTTCAGAAGCCCAACTCCCTATTCAGCATACAGTTGACATATTTTAATTCTCTTAGCGCATTGTCACATTAGAACAAGTAGAATACAATACTATAAGCAATTTTTATGGAAATTTCTAAAAGAAAATGGAGCCCAGAATTTTTTTTTTTTTATATCTTAGTCTGTCTTTTTCAGTTGCTAATGTACCTCCTGTGGAGTAAAGCTCAGAGAATGTCTGTCAACGTGTTGCTTTTCTTTGTGAAGCTTACAACATTACTTATCTTACTCCTTTTAAGAATAGGAAATCTGCCCTGAAACCTTAAAAAAATAATTACCAAAGTCGTGCTGTGATAAAAGTTTTTTTTTTCCATCAATCAAAGATGACATTTGAGAAATAACAGTGGACTATTACATCTGAAAATATCAGAATATTTTCAGATGTAATTTCTCTGTTTCCTAATCTTCTCATGCTGGGGCTGTTTCGTTCTCGTTGGCTTGCTTTTACAGTCCTTATTCATCATGCAAGGCTGCAAAGATAAATGAATATGGAGATGAAGAAAAACACTTTTTTCCCTCTATATACTTTTTTCCCAATATCTCTTCAGTATCTCTGACTGTTCACTGTAATCTCACCATTTACAGCAGGGAGCATCCCTTCTTCTTCACCTTGGCGGGCTGGGGACAGAGGACGGCCCGGATGGCTTCATCAAACACGGTCTTAAGGCCACGCTGGGTCAAGGCTGAGCACTCAAGGTATTTTACCGCATCTATTCAAACATGTAATGAGTACACACACACATACAATATCACACACAGTATCAGAATCTGCTGGATTGTCTGTGATACTAGCAATGCAAGCTATGATGTTTTTTAAAATTACTAATATCTAACAGGGTTAATCAAATTTATTTTTAAAAAATGTACAGAAAAGCACTAAGATGGTCATTGGTATGGTACTGAGTTGCCACCAGGTTAATGGCGATGGGGCTGCACTCACCTATTTCCTTTGCCAGTGCCAGGCCCTGTGGGTAGGTGATGGGCGCCAGCTTTTTTTCCTTCAGCTTCTCAATCGTATCTTTCTCGTCCCTCAGATCCAACTTCGTGCCCACCAAGATGATGGGTGTGGAGGGACAGTGGTGGCGAACTTCCGGGTACCACTATGTATGAAATGTTTGGCGGAATGTGAAAGGAGGCACGAGAAAGCAATAAAACCCCAAAATATGAATGTCAGGTTTATTTCACTGTTATGTTGTGAAAATGAAATATATATGAAGAGGTGTTTGAAAGACAGGAGACACAGATAGCAGCCTTTTGCTTCAGCAAACAGTACATCAAAGTATCTGCTCCACCCTGGAAAAGATGTCATAAAGAATTTATATCCAGACCTCCACCGGTTGCTTCTCACCTCTTTGGGTTTCTTTTGATATTGTGCTTGGATCTTTCTCCTTCCTCTTACAGCTCCCTCTCAATATCAAATTTCATCATTCTCAAGCTTTCTGTCCTTTTTCTCTTTTATTATTAAATAACAGCATTTTCTGAGAGCTACAATATTCAAACTTAAAACCCTGATTTGCAGTTGAAGGAACATATACCAAAGCAGCTTCAGACTAATAAAGCACACTTATGCACAGGGATTTCTATCATAATTCATCTTTGAGAACTTTCATATTGTATGATTATGGACAGAGTAACAGATTTACCAGGTTGTTTATTACTTCAACGATGATATTGAGTGTCATGATATTGAGCTGAGTGTTGACATGCGATTGCTAATATGAAATGAAACATTGCAAATGATGTGTCGCAGAGACAGGACCCACCTTAGCTCTGACGTTCTCATAGGATGCTGGGCTGACCAGAGAGAAGCAGATCAGGAAAACGTCCTGGGAGGATAGACAGAGAGGTAAAATATGATTTAAGAGTGTCCTCATATCTTTATGCAATTTGAAATGAATATTTCTAATAATCAACATTATCAATTATTGTTCCATGCTTCTGAAGATTATTTTCTGGTAAAGCCTTTTTACATTGTTATTTTGTTCAGCAAAACAATATATTATCGATTTTGGAATAGAATGGTATCATTGAAGATGTTTTTTTTTTAATCTTAGATGTCAAGGGAACCTTTACACAAACATCTAAATTAATTAAAATATCCCTCAGTGAGTTTATTGTTTTGTTGTCATATGCAATTGAAACTCATTTAGTTTCACAGCCGGGGGGAAATCAATTAAATTTTTAGATTAAACGTGTACAGAGTGGAATTCCTGATTACCGTCTGTGGATAGGACAGGGGACGCAGCCTGTCGTAATCTTCTTGTCCTGCCGTATCCCAGAGACCCAGGTTTACAGGTTTGCTGTCCACCATCACGTTTGCTGAGTAGTTGTCAAATCTGTTTGGAACACAGGACATCAGCAATCGGCATGGAATCAGCATGCATTCCTGGAAAAACTTAATTCAAACCGTCATTTAAACCATGAGCTCATTTATTAAGTTCTGTAGACATGACAATGACGCCACCATCTATCTCAAACCTGAAAGGCTTGACAGTAAAACTGATCACAGTCTAAAGGTCCTGTATAAACCACTGAGCTTTGTGTTGCTTCTGTCATCCCTTAGACGCAGGTCATGTCCTAAATCGAAATCCTTAAGCGCCCCCTAGCGGTGATAGTAACATACTACAGTATATTCAAGTAGTGCTAAGAAAACACATATTTGTGTTTGGAACTTTTTACAGGTTCAGCCACCTAAAGTGGAGACACAAATTTTTGTTCATCTCTGTAGAGCATCAGGTCACTATGATTCATCTGATGGATGTTTGCACGGCTGAAAGAAAACTATTACTAATGAGTTTCAGAAACATGTCCATGCAACGTGACATTTGACGGAAGTCAGATCGAAAGGCTGCTCAAAATAAATGACCTATTTACCACAATAGTTCCTGATTCATGTTCAGCTATAACTGTCAGCTTTTCCTCTGCTGGGTCATTCAATTTATAACCTAACGCAGAGCAGAAGTAACTGCAAGGAAATCAAGTGATCAAATCCCTACATATGACTGATTACATTCCATATGTATGAAAAATAAAAAGAGCAAAGAGAGAAACACGTGAAGGAATTGAATCTCCTCCTTTAACAGGCAAAGTTTGAAGAGACCTGATTTTTTTCATCACCAGTATGCAGCTGCCAGTCAAAACTTGCCCCTGTACACACTATCCGACAACTACAGCAGCATGTGCACGTTTTGCAAGATAAATCTTTAAAACAAAGTATTTTGTGTTTGTTTATTTGTGTCTAGGGCACAGCTGAGTCAGATAACTACAGTCACAGATAAGTACGACTTAAAATTGTGTGGTTTTCTTTTTTCTTTTATGTAGACGGATGAAAAAAGAGGGCGTGCGCGTGTCTGTGTGTGTTTTGTACTCACACGGTAGGAATGTACTCCCCGGGGAAAGCATTGGTTGTGTAGCTGATGAGAAGACATGTCTTACCCACAGCCCTGAAACACACATATCACAGTACACAATGAAGCATTGTGACAACAACAACAACAGTGACATAGCCATCTCTTTACATTTGACATTTTTGATAATTGGATCAACAGACAGTATAGTGTACACATTGTACTACACAGCATACAGTATGAAGGCTAGCTTTGGTAACTGACAACCCTCCAGTCTTGTCCTGACAGGAAATGATGCCACATTTACTCTGACAGACATCAGTCATACAAGAACACTCAAGTGAAGTTTGATTTCTTTCAGAGAGTTTAAATAGTTTCCCCCGACTTTAACAATTCAGTTGTGGAAAAGTACGATGTTAATCGATGGACACTGTCATCTCTAGATATATGAGGATGCATGCATTGGAAATCGCCTCACCTTTAGTGTGCAGAACGGTACGTGTTTATTGTGAGCAGTATTGTTATGGCTTTGGGCTATGAATTGAGACAGATATATTGGACCCATTACAGAAGTTGAGCAAACAGCCTGCCTCAACATCCACAGCAAATGAGCTGCATGGCAGCATGCAGTAACAGGTATTCACTGGCCCAGGTCCTATTTCCATCCACAAAAACTGCGTTCAGGGTTTCAACAACAGTTCACCGTCGAAGCCGGCACCCATGCCTCAGAAGCTCTGATAGCAAAAGCAGAACCTCTTATTGGTGGATTTGAATGATTGTTTATTGAGCTTGAGTTATAAAATCTGTAAAAATTATTGCTGAAGTTTTCGGTATCATAGTTAGAGCCACCAATTCACCACTACCTGCATTTAAGAAATTGCGAGCCACATTCTGTAAAAGGCCTCTTATCAAGCCATCTACACAAGTGCCATCACATAAATTTAAACGAATAGAGAAAATTTGAAACATGTCGAGCCATTTTGTCCCAGATATTTTTAAATATTTCTTTCTTAATATATGGATGAGGGCAGATTGTTTGACATACTCATACTCACTGTACTCAGTCTCATTTTGATTCAGGAAATTTCAAAATCCAATGTAGAATTCAGGCCTAATTTTGACAGGCTTTTTTCAGAGATGCAAAAGTTTTCTTTGTCCAATATAAAACATTTTACAGTCAATGTAATGCATGGCTGTAATTTACGCCCGGTATGACCATGGACACTGAGATGTGAGGAGACATTTTTTGCATCTTCTTCTAGGAGTCTTTGGGTGAATGCTAGGTGTTACAGTACAGACTATACTTGGTGTTCAATTTGAACAAAAAAGGATGGACTGACAAAGTTGAGTTGCATTTCAAAATTCTGCGTAAAGAGGGTGGAACGCATTGCACAGAAAATGTTGCAAACTCACATTTCCTGTGCAAGTATCACATGAACCTACAGTGGTTAAACATAGTGGCTGAAATATGCCTTAAGTCATGAGAGTTAACATCTGTTTTCAAAAGATAAAAAATATGATAAAATGAGTGTTTTGCACCTGATTTTATTTTTATGTGACGGATGCCTGTCACACTGAGATGAGCAGGGACTTTACCTGCGCATATCTGGTGATGCATCAGTCCTATTGCGGATGTATTTCACAAACTCCAAGATCATGGTAAGAAAAGGGAAGCTTTGCAACATGCAACCTTTGTCAAAACAAGCATGGGAAGTCTGAAAATGCTGTCTGATTGTTCATCTCACTGTTAATCTACCTGATGGTAGCTTAGACAGACTCACTCCCCGATCATGAATGGATAATGTATCAATTATTCATTCAAGACCATCAAAGGCATAATGTTTCCTCAACCCAAACTGAATGATCAGAAAACAAAAAAACTTTCTCTCATGTTAGCAGGAGTGGAACTGTAAAAGTGAAAATCTTAAACAATTTGAGGACTCATTAGAGACTAATCAGAGAAAACTAAGTACATCAAATTTGATCCTATATCTGAAACATTTCCAAAAAAAGAACTGCATGGCCCCTAAAAAAAGGCCATCACGCCAGTTTGGATTGTTCCGGCCAACGCAAGAACAAGATGACTCAATTATCGGCCTCAGTGACCTTTATAAAAACTGTTATATATGCCTGGTTCTATGTTTGCGAGGACCACTTTAAGTTTTTCAAATTTTTTCCAAACCAATTTGGAAAGTGCAGCCTTAGATTTGAGATGTCATCTTACCATCTCGTTGTGTTTAAGTTGAAAGACAAAAGCTGGTATTTGGAGAGAGAGCATAAGCATAAAGGCGCAAGTGTGCTTGAGCTTTGTGGTTGTATGTGAGTCAGAAAGGAACTGATCTGTTTCAGAAACATCGGTTAAAACTGAAAACAGGAACCAGTCAGTCTGAGCTATGAAGAAACAGAGATCCCTGTCTTCTCACATTTTTTGACCTGTTTTTCCAGCAACCTTCAGTCTTCTGCGTTCAAATTCTGCATTATCTTTTTCCAAACGCTCAAAGGATTTCTTTGTCTTGTCTTATTTTAGTCCTGAAGCTTATTGTCTCTTTCTCACTGAATAAAGTTCTACATTCTATTTCCTCTTTTACTACTTTCTTACCATAGTCATTTGGTTTGTCCCTTAAGTCCATCACAAAAACACATGGTCTCTGATTACTTCCTGATTGATCTGCCAAAACCCTCATCACCTTTATTTGGGTCAGCAAAAATGGTGAAACTTTCAACTCTGTAAAGTTATCAAAGTAAGATTTGATAAAAGTAGAATTTTGTTTAGATAATGAATTTAATTCACAACTTATTCTTGATCAAGTTTTCTGTTTTTGGGCTGTACAATCATTTCCAACAAACTGTTTGATTTATGATAAGTGGTGCTAAAGTTAGCTGTCATGCTATGATCCCGGGCAGAGTTGGCATATGCAGAACTTTCTGTATGTAAACAGTAATGTTGCCGAGAGTAATCATGATTACACAAAGTCAAATAAGTGCACATATGTAGTTATTACAACCAAGGTATTACACTTTAAACAAGAACACAAGTTTTAATTTAAGTTATATCCCTCAGCCTTAACAATAATACAAGTCTAGGCAACATGAAATTCCACTTTAGTGGAGTTTGCATGTTCTCCCTGTGTCTGTGTGGGTTCTCTCCGGGTTGTAAGGCTTCCTTCCACCATCCAAAAACCTGCATGTTAGGTTGATTGGACATTCCAAATTGCCCTTAGGAGTGAGTGTGCTTGGTTGTTCGTCCTTGTGTGTCTCTGTGTGGCCTGCAATGGACTGGGGACTGTCCAGGGTGCACCCCGCCTGTCACCCATTGAAGACTGGGTTGGATTCCACGACCCCATTAGGGAATAAATAGTTACGACAATGGATGGTCGGATGGATGGATTTTCCCAACATGCGTGTTCCTTTGACACTTCCTCAAAATCAGATTAACACACAATACTTGGTAACCGTGTAAATTCATTGTTCTGTGGTTAATGTTTAATGTTTCGTTTTGTTAGCTTAGTGCCCTTAAACTCTGAGTTCAGAAGCAGATTGTGTGTGGTGTCAGACTCAGACTCACCCATCAAACTTCCCCTACACAAGCAAAGATCAACTTCCTCTTCTTTTTTTTGGGACGAAAAGTAACCATACATTTTTTTTGTGTGTGTGCGTGTGTGTGCGCATCTGGCTACACGTGATCATCTATCACAGTACAGCTGCTCTGTTTCTTTTAAAATTCTAAACAAGCCTCACCCTCAAAAGCACCACTGATATCACAAACTCACTCATATGAGCTCCTGCTATGTAGCTTCATGGTGACATGTGAATGTTCAAACGAGGAAATAATAAATGTTTCACTAGTGGTTGTCATGTTGAAGAAATTCACAGACAAAAATCATGTACAGGTATCAATGTTAAGGGTACATTTTTGACAAGAAACTAAAACAGATACGTTACACGTGTTAATGCCCCACAGCAAGCAAATGTCACCCCACTCCCCCCGTTATTGTTGGATGAGGGCAGTTTTGGTTTGTATTTTCTTCTTTGTGTTCGTGTTAATTTCCCCATTTTTCTTTCACATTCACAGCTGTGTGTCTGCAGACCACATTTCATCCAACTTCTTCCTCATTTAACGTTTCTAAATCAGAGACATGAAAAAAAAGGCCTGAACAGGAAGCTCAACACAAGAATTCAGCTGCGCCGACCGGGTGTTACCTTTCGTAGTTTTACTGTTTACTGATCCCCCTCAAACCCAACTGAAGCAACTCCACTTTCACCAACTGAAAATCAACAATGTTTTTTCACCTTTGAGGGTTAGATGTGTCTTTTTCTCTGTACTGACCAAGGAAATACAGTATAAAGCAGTAAAAGTTGAAAACCTTAGACCACATAAATTCACCAGGTTTACAAATCACTGTGCAGTACTAACGTTACACACCACAGAGCTCTTTTGCTCTTATTTCCTTGTCATATTTCTCTTTATTGTGCTTCACTGACAGCTGATTTTGGCATTCCTTGGAACCCTCTCAGAAATAGGGGCCGAACACTCAGTTATCTCCTTCACAGAATTTCCCTGCGTGTTGTGACCTGCACGGATCCCTTAGTGTCACACATAGAACTCTCCTTCAATAAGCCGAAAAAGCAGAGCAGCCTCATGAGCTCTGAAGGAACACTTTACAACACAGCCACATTGTAGCGGAAGTTAATAAACTCTTTTTCAATTTGACATTTCCGTCTATCAGTGCCAGTTGAAACCTGGAGCCAAACATTCAGCTCTGCCTGATTGATTCAGTACCTAAAAGTGGATTCAGTAAAGTAAAAATAATGGCTTACCCATCTCCCACGACCACACACTTGATAGCCTGCATCCTGTTCCGCTCAGCCTCGTTCGTGCTCTTCTCCGGGACAGAAACAGACTCAAAGAGGACTGTCGAGAGGCTCACATGAGTGTGCAACTACAGGAAATTGTTGCACACCTCCCTCCCCTCCCTCCGCTACTTTTTTTTTCATTCTCAGTCTTCCCTCCTTCATTTGTACACTCTTCTGCCTCTTAATCTTTTGTTTTTAGGTTTCCCCTCCTTCGAAACAAAAAACATACCCAAGATGTATGCAGATGCAAAACATATGAATGATCTTTAAAATGTTTCTGTTGAAATGGATTAAACTATAAAAGGTGTTGAAGATGAAGAAAGAGCTAATGTAAAACCTCCTTTGTTTGCCTATCAACTTTAATTCAGAATATGATTTCTAAAGTTATTTAAATGCCACAGTAATGTAAAGCATACACAGACTTAACTTTCATTGTTTAAGATATCACATGGAATTAATCTAATTTCCCAACAAAATAATTAATGCATTTTACATGCTCATTTTAAATTTGGTTTATTGTAAAAAAAAGTTTAATCCCTGCAGTTGTAGATGGAATACAGAAGCCAGACACTGCAATATGGAAAGATTTCCATCCATTTATTCTCTATACCACTTATTCAACAGCTGACAATGGGCTACAGGCATGGTAGCCCCAGGACAGGTCACCAGTCTATTGCAGTGGAGAGATATCTTCGGACATAATCACAAAACTACAGAACTTGTAATATTCATGTTTTACCACATGATGGCCCCTCGGTATAACTTCAGCCAGAGAAAAAACATCCTCAAAGGTCTGAGTGCACTAGAGTTGTTTCATTTCAATATCTTTTGACATGTTGGTATCATTTAAGTTTTTATTTTCTATTTGTAAGAAGATAAGTTTTTGTTCATAATAATGTATTTTGAGATAAATCACCACAATAGTCCATTAGGTGCTTTGTAAAAGTGTGAATTAAAAAAAAATCTATGTATATATAGAAGAACCCATGTTATTAATGTTACTTAGGTTCACCGCACATAGCTTTTTTAAATGTTTTCAACCTAGTAATAAGCTAAAGGGGCAGGATGCAAACCCACAGTGAGCCACCTTGTTGAAAATATCAAACTGTCATGTCAGTGTGTGAAAGCATCACAGTCAAACCACACAGAACGTGAGATTACCAACGTAAAACAGTCCAGTTTGCACAGTAAGTATGAGCTGAGAGGATGTGTTACATTAGTCTGTTGTTTTAGGACAAACGGTGCAACGATCACACTGAAAGATTTATGCTGTGACATGTCACACCATTTACCTCTAAAACCAAATCATTTCAGGACATTTTCATCATGTCTCCATAAACTTTGACATCAAGACACCCAAACAGAACTTCGAAGATGGTCACATTTACTACATCTTGTTTTTAAAAGACAGCCCTTCTCTCAGGCTTTGTGCTCAGGCAAGCTTGAGATGAGGAAGAGGTGGAGCTCACGAAGCAAACCTCATTCAGCTGTCGCTCTGCTGAAGGCTGAGGCAGCCGGACACCTGACTGCTCTGCTGCAGACATTACTTTTTTCCCCTTTTTTACTTGGATATAAATGACTGATTGCCAAATGGGTAAGGAAAGACCTACTTTACCTCTTCTCTGTTGTTATTGAAGCTTCTTGTCTTTTATCTCCTATATCAATTATTTTTTTTGTGTGTGTGTGTGTGTGTGTGTGTGTGTGTGTGTGTTTCTAGGCATGTGATTATTCTTCTAGTGTTATTTGATAGTCTGAGGTGAACAGAGATAAGTGCTGCTCTTTAGTTTAGGTGACTTCTTGTCATTCGCATGTAGGTGTTTGACATTTGACTAAATCAGAATCAGAGTGAGGGCTTGTCTACGTTCCTAAACTAAGCCTAAGCAACCAAATCCATGAACATAAATGAAGTAATGCCACATAATGCCTGACAGCTTTGTTGCACAAGATGAGAAAAGGAAGGGTGGGGAAGTAGACGTCCTGTGGTCAGATTATTTACGGCTCACACATCTCTGAGGAGGTTTTGTCAGAAACTAACTAATCATGATATTTTAGCTTTCACATATTCAAATTTTTCTATTTTCTGCTGAAAACCGACATTTTACACCGGTCATAGAACAATCAAATAATGATATCGTAAGAAAATAAATTGTAAGAACATGAAATGCTCAGACAATTTGGGCAAATCAGCAAATAGCCTGAACAAAATCTTTGCTCTTTAGAAACACTTTAACATCAGATAGGTGAAAGTAAACTGAGCCTGGATGGTAATGAACAACCCCACCTGCCTAAATGGACATTATATACATTTATGCAAAATGGTGCTTATTTTATATTGTTATAAACGGGGGCAGCACAGAAGCCAAAACTATTACCCTTTTAGAATGAAATGTTTTTGACTTCAACATTGATTAAATTAGTTTGACCAAATGTGATTTGGTGAAGCTTACAGAGACAATATTGTGTTTATCTTATTCCCTCCTAGTCATCTGGATGACTTGGACAGCCTTAAGAAAAAATGTGTAATGCAAATATTTATCCACATGCCCAATAAATAGTGGTCATGGTGGTAAATTGTGAGATGTTTTCTGTTCTCCGCAGGGCACGATCCATGTGGCATGACAGGAATAGTGACTTCCATGAATTGAATTAATAATGGAAGTCCTAACATTTTGTATTTTTAATGTCAAACCATGTAGACAGTCCCAAAACCACTTTCATGGTTTGACAGCCACTGTAGCTGAGAAGAACAGTGATGAACTTAAACTGAACTGGAAAAGTTCTGGAGTACAACATTTTGCAAGTCTTGAACAATACTCCTTCCTCTGTGTGTTTGGCCATCAACATGACATCAAGAGGAATGTCATTGTGTACAATGATATAAAAGACGTCAATGTGCAAATTCATTTATGTGTGTGTGTCTTTATATGTGTGTTAAAGACAAAGGAAGGGAAAGATCACAATTGTACAGTTTTCTCACTTCGATTATCAAATTGCAGCATTTTACAAATGTTGATGACCAACGCAGCTGTTTCTCAATTTGCTATGACATTCAGTCTGAGGATGATCAATATGCAATAACCCTGAGTCAAATATGACATATAACAAATAATTATAAAATTTGCCCAGAAACTTTTATAACCAACATTTTCCAAGGAGTCAGTGAGTGGTCAAACTCAAAAATAACATTCGAGGAGTCCTGTTAATCCTCATAAGCCACAAGCACGTTTTATGTTCTCTTACTAAGAATGTTCTGACTTGTCTCTAATCTTTGTGCAGTTTCCTCTGATTTTACCGCGGATGAGAAGATGGAGATAGAGAGTATCAAAATGTACAAGAAAGACCTTCTGGATGACATCCAGGTAATATTCGTATACCTATATCGTCAAACGGAACAATTTGTCTCAGCTTTTAAACATCAGGAATTAAACATCAACATTTTATTTCGGTGTTCCCTTTCCAGAAGCTGAAGTTGGAGATAGACAGCGTCATGGCAGGCATACTCAGCTTTGAGTCTGCAGAGGAAAAGTGAGTCTGTGTCTGGGAAAATCCCTCCACCTGTTTTGCAAGCCATGTGTCTTTTTAAAGATAACCTCCAGATAACACCAGATCTGCCTCCTTAAACCTACAGTCTCATGAATTTTTCAGTTTCATAGTGGATTTCCAACAAATTTTTTTTCATTTTCTCCAATTATTATCTACATCATTGCACAGACACTGACAATCGTCTTTCATTTGTCTCCCAGAGAGGTGAAACTGAGGCCAAAATACACCAAGTTTAAAACATGAATTTATTAACTAATTATGTTTTCGGTTAGACCCACAATGTTTGCATTTTTTTCATTTATTTCTTTACCAGAAGAACTAAATCAATATATAATGGCAATAATTCATGCACTGATCCGTTGATTCAGACAGCTTAAGTTGTCCGAAGCACCCAGCTTTCTTCTAGCAGATATTCGTGATATCTCTTTGTGGTGTCTTTTTTTTTGTCAGTTTCCTGGAGCTAGTGGTTCAACGATTTTACTTGCTGAGAAAATACTTTTTGCATTATCTGACTTGAATTTGAGGAGACTCTTTAACGTTGTTAACTCAAATAACTTGAATAACATTTTTTTTTTCTTTTTTTCTTTTAAATTTGCAGCAAGACTATAGAAAAAAACAAACAGTTCTCAAATGGGAAGAAGAAATTCAACATGGACCCCAAAAAGGTGAGCTCAGATGTGTGTGTGCGAATATGTGTGTTTTTGGGCCACGGCAGCGCTGCCGTGCACGATAAGAGCTGAATTTTCTTAGCTGAGCACCTTCTTGCAGCAGGTCTTTTCGTGTCACTTCCTCTGAAACTGGTGGGGCTTTGAGTGTGGGGCGTCACTCAGCCACTGACTCAGGCCCACACAAAGTTCCTGTGGTTGTGGTGATGGGCCAGTCTCATCACTGTAGAAACGCGCAACAGCTCTGTACCTACAACTACTGTAGTAAGCATCTCCAGGGAGATGGTGTTTATTTACCTGATAAAAGACAATCCGCATATGTATTTGGGGAATTTAAACACATCGGATCACGCTGGAAGTGGCGACGGACGGATGCCGTGTTATGTCTGCAGGCAAATATATCTTTAAGCACAGACTTTCCGATAAAAGACCTCAGATGAAGCAAAAAGAGGAAGAGAAATCAGTTTTTAGGAATTGGAATTGCAGAAGCTGCATTTGACCAAATGCAGCTGAGTTAATAGTGAAAATGAACACATGGGATCAAGATAACTTAAATGATCCACTTCCAATTCTCCTCACAGGTGCAAAGATTTTCTGTAAACAATCTATTTGAATGCAGGGCATCAACTTCTTGGTGGAAAGCAGACTACTGGATGGAAGTCCTCAGTCTATTGCAGAGTTTCTGTACAAGGAGGAAGGACTCAACAAGACGGCCATTGGAGAATTCCTCGGAGAAAGGTGAGAAAGTGGGGGAGCAGACATCAGGCAGGGAGGAGCTTGTCAAGATGTAAGTTAGAAAAATGAAATTATTAAGAGCAAGTGTAAGGGTAATGATGAGGAGAGGGGTAATAACAAGTATTGAAAAAAGTGATAGATCAGTCAGTCTTTGGTGTGTGTTATTCTGTGAGTTTTCAGCCATTAGAAGACTAAGGATGTGAAGGCTGGTTTCACCTGTACAAGGTGAATGTCTCCATCTGGTTTCATCCTTCTCATATTCTTCTGTCTCCTTAGGGATGAGCTCCATCTGCAAACCCTGAAGGCATTTGTGGAACTGCATGAGTTCTCTGACCTCAACCTGGTTCAGGCCCTCAGGTCAGTCTCATTTATCATGACCCATTTTAACTTTTCCCACCATCAACTAAATCAACAGATTTAGTTGTTGATTTAGTAGACGTTTACAGATGCGTTTGTGTGTTGCTCCAAAGATTCAGAACTGTAAAAAGTGTTGACGTGAAAGTTACCAGGGAAAGATTTAACAGTGACTATAAGGCCTGTTTTTAAAACTGATGCCTGTTTATCTATCTGCACCTCACTGCTGCAACTAGCCACCATCTTCAACAGGCTTTCCACATATAGTCGGGTTTAAAAGGGGCTGGGGTTAGCTTTACCATAGGTTCATAGCAAGAACATCGGTTCATGGTTATACCTCCCGATAGATGAGTGGAAATGCTGAAAACTCAATCACAAAAAGAGCAGTCCTGTAATTTATAAAATGTCATTTCTGATGTTAAGTTTAAATGGAAAACTGCAGAAAGTAAGGTCCAGATTTCCCAGTATGAAAAAGTCCATGAAAGTGAAACAAACAATGTCATAAATAAAATCTTTACTGATCAGCTTAAGTGCCTTTATATAACAGACTATAACAGTCATTCTAAAACAAAAAAGCCACAAATGTGATGTAGAGCGTTGGCTACAGTCATTCCATTAGGTCCAAACACTGACCACAGACTTGATGGTAAGGCCATACTTTGCATACAAAGTTTCTGAAGTTATTGTGGTGCGCTTGTGTGTGTGTGTGTGTGTGTGTGTGTGTGACAGGCAGTTTCTGTGGAGTTTTCGCCTGCCAGGTGAAGCTCAGAAGATTGACCGAATGATGGAGGCTTTTGCCACCCGCTACTGTAACTGCAACACTCATGTCTTCCAGTCCACCGGTTAGTCGAATTAAACGAGTCCATTTCCTGTACGAGCTACCACTGCATGAATGACCGCATCGCCCAAGTGCTTTTTGACTTTATTCTTCTGTGTTTTTCAAACTTCCTCTAATAATTGTTTTCTCTCTTGCTGCTTTGACACGGATCTTCCTCACAACAATAGACACATGCTACATCCTGTCTTTTGCCATCATCATGCTTAACACCAGCCTTCACAACCCCAACGTGAAGGACAAAACCACACTGGAGCGTTTCATCTCCATGAACAGAGGCATCAACAATGGAGAGGACCTGCCTAACGATCTGCTCTCGGTGAGGACTCCAGCAAATTACTAAAAATGTTTATAATTCCATTTAAGACGTAAAATATTTCCAATTCTTTGAGCAATGCATGGCTAATGAGGCATAGAGGGGGATAGTTACTTTTGTTGGGAGAGCAGCATGCTTTGTTTTGCAATCTCCAACACTGGAAACTTTTTTAAAGTCCAAAAGACCCTGTATTTGGTGGCCCAGGAACCAGGTTCAAGCGTAACAACTGTATCCGTTTTTTACTATCCTTTCAGAAACTGTATGAGAGCATACGCAACGAGCCTTTCAAAATCCCGGAAGATGACGGAAACGACCTGACACACACCTTTTTCAACCCCGACAGAGAAGGCTGGCTTCTCAAACTTGGTAAAAAACATCTTGTCAAAACTCGGATAAAACACAGTAATTTCACCCCAATTTTCCCCGACCCCAAATTTCATTAAAAAAAATCAGCTTTTTATCTTTGTGTTTCTTTACTAAGTACGTCCTGACCGGTGTCGTGCACACGGTTAACCACAGGAAAGTAAAGCAGAAGTTTTTTAAATTTAGTGGAATACTGAAGTTGTGCAACTGCATGACGTGGATATGTCGAGCTTCACTCAAATGATCGGCCTTAGTTAGATTTGTCTGCAGACAAATTCTGTTCAATTTGAAAGTTAAGTCACCATATTTTTTTGCTGGGATTGTATTTCAGGAGGGCGGGTCAAGACGTGGAAGAGGAGATGGTTCATCCTGACAGACAACTGCCTCTACTACTTTGAGTTCACCACTGTAAGACTTCCGTAGAGCTCACAGAAATGTTACCCGGTCAAAAGAATTGAAACCACAGTGTACATTGGTCAATGTGGTGATTCATTGATGGTCTCTCTTCTACTTTTTGCCCTTTAAACATATTTCCGATTCAGATGGTATTTCAAAATGTTCCAAAAGCTCTTCCTGTCAGTCTGATACATCTCATGAAACAGTCATTTCTTCTCAATCTCTTTGTAGGATAAAGAGCCCAGAGGTATCATCCCACTAGAGAATCTTTGCGTGAGAGAAGTGCCATACCCTCGCAAACCGGTAAGGTCCCGTTGGCTGGTGAAAACTACATTCAATTGAAAGTCAAGTCCCTGAAATTGTTGTCATCCTCTGATATGGTGTAGTACTGTCTGGAGCTGTACAACCCCAACAGCCGAGGGCAGAAGATCAAAGCGTGTAAAACAGAGACAGACGGCAGAGTGGTGGAGGGGAAACACCAGTCTTACACCATCTGTGCCTCCAGTGCCGAGGAGAGAGACTCCTGGATCGAGGCCATCAGGTCAGATCACACACACAAACCAGTGCTTTAGAATCAATGTGTACTGCTGTGTTTGGGAGGAGTGTTCAGTGAACTCATCCTCACATCACATCACTTTTTTTTACTAGCTGTGTGTAGGAAGAGCTCTGTGGTGCCACTTGTGCTGTAGTTTCCATCATTGCTCAGCTCTTTACTTACACACCCCATCACCAGATATGACCCACGTTTGACATCTTTCAGATGGGCATTATGATCCCTTTATCTGACCTTTTTTTTACATTGAAAATTATTAAAAATTCATCAAAAATGTATATTTGGAAAAAATGTTTGGGATTAGATTAAAATCCAAAACATACATTTATCTCCATTTATGATGTCTTAGTTTGGCTGATAATCAATAATCCTGAAATGAGTCAATTGCTTATTTTTATTTGCATGTCTGTGTTGATTTTTACTCAGTGCAAACATTTTATTTAAGCTGAACACTGATGACATCCTGATTGATAAACCCTAGTTTTGGCCCCATGGGAACCAAGATTCTATGAACACACACTCACACTCATTCAAATGCTGCTTTATCTGCATGTTGACAAGCGTTTCTATTCCAAACAGAGCAAGTATCACCAAGGATCCCTTTTATGACTTGGTTTCAGTCCGAAAGAGGAAGGTGATCAACCAAACCCCTCAGGACTGAGCAGTGCTGTGCCCTCCCAGGGGCTGTCTACCTTTCCGTTTGTTTTTAAACTTTTTTTAAAAACTTGTTGCAATGCAGCAAAATCAAGGCACGAGGCTGAATGGAAACCACTGCCCGTGGATGGGAAGGCTAAAAGAGGGACATGTCTTTCCACTTCTCTTTTACAGACTATGAGAAATCAGCGTCCAACGTTAAAAAAAAAGTAGACAAAAATAGTTTTGAAAGTATTAGCATGAGGTGCCTTAAAGGCTATGCAGACAGTAAAATTCGGTGGATTGTAATTACTTTTCAAAGAATTTCTGTTAGTGGAACTTGTTATGCCTTCTGTAAAGAGAAGTTGATATTTTTTTTATCCTAGCCTGTATGATTTAAATTTTCAGTTCTAAGAGGCTGATTGAGCTTGTGATGCATCAACAGTTCCACGGATGCTATAAAAAAGCACTCGTTCTACTTCAGCTACTGTTTCTCATATGCCAAAGAAAAAGTAACAGCCACACTTCTGTCTACTTAGGTTGAGTTATGAGAACTTTTTTAGATTGAGCATCAGATGAATGTTATTGGCTCTCAAGAACTTTGGCTTTATGATGACATTTTTGGAATAGTGCCAACAATGTCTCGTGATTTATATCATTTTTGGTTTGTACTTTATAGTGTCTTGGAATTTTGTTTTAACCTGCTAAATTCTGTCTTGTTTGTTTATTTGAAAGTGCAATATGTGTTATATATTCATGTGCCTCATTATGAAATTGTGTACACTGTAACATTAATGATCTTTTAACTATACCTTGTGATGTGTAACATTTACTACTGTCTAACGTTCCCATTGTACAGAATTTATTTTTGATCCATTCTGATAATAAAGCTATTTAATTTTAAAAAGGAGCTATGATGTGTTCTTAAAGGATTCACTGACAGCTGTGTTTTTAGTCAAATGCAGTGTGTTCATCCGGCCACGCCTTACTTCCTCATGTCTCCGTTTATGCTCTTTTCACATACTTATAGGTGCCTCTTGACTAAAGCGCTTGTTTATTTGAAGATGTGTGAACAACCTGTTAACATTACTACTGTGTAACATACACTGGTCCCCTACTCTGATTGCAGTCATTTAAAACATTTAAGAACCAAATCTGGTTTAAATGCAAGCCGTTTATGGACATAAACAGATATATACATATATTGTAATGCTGAAATGGCTAAAACAAGAGTTGTGTGTGGTATCCACTTAGGCTATCATTTTTATTTACTTTATCGAACACTGTCAGATGCGTATCATGAACATGAAACCACCAGGAAGTTCAGACTTCCATTGTAGAGCATCTTGCAGGTGGTCTTGTGGTTTCATGTGTGAGTGACGGAAGACTGCATACGGGGTAAAAACATTTGAGGTTTTAAAGACTATGTTGTTAAATTCTACATTTCAATGCTGATACATTGACTTTTGGGTAGCTCATTAAGCCTTTACAGTTTACTTTGAAATAGTGGATCTAGTGTGAAACATTCAGCAGTAAAAACGCTGACATAAATGTGCAGTAATTTCCTGGAACTGATATTTGGAGTGTTGTGTCATTAACATTTCTCTGCATCTATTGCAGGAAGCAAAATATTTTTAAGGCTGCTGTGTGACAGCAAAATTAGCCTGTGTATTACAGCGAGAACACCTCTGCTGCTGCAGATCTGACTTCCTGTTTCAGTATTGCACCACAAAGCATCCCCACCCCCACCACAACCCTTCCCCAACTCCCCACCGAGTTCCCATCAGCAGTTCCCCTTTTGAGATAGGAAGCCATTATCAAATGCAGAGCAGCATGCAGTGGTCAGAATGCGCACTACACTCCTCAGCTGTTGATCTTCAGTGTCTGAGCACCGCTGTGTGTTACCACAAGAAAAACCTGCAATTCAAGAGATGCCTCCACAATAGTAGACGACTAGATTGAGGGGGAAAAAATAGTATAGTAGAATAAATCAATAACTTTAGGATTTAAGATTGCTCGATTAAACAGTGTGCTAAAAAGGCTGCTTTATGCTTTTGAAAATATCTAAATTATATATATATATATATATATATATATATATATATATATTATAAACTCAAGAGGGCCAACACAGTTTTTGTTTCCTAAAATGCCACAAATAGAATATTCAAATGTCTAATGTTGGCATTTAACTACTTTTTCAGAATTGAATGTACGCATGGTATTCTATATTTTAGGCCAAACTAGAGAAAGGTACTGAATTATTGACTGACTTTTTGCCAACATTGGTCGATTGGATGTGTTCTTAGACTGAAGTCTTTCTGATCAAATCAGTTACTTCACTAAACATGTTGCTTTAATATAGACAAACAAGTTTTTGATTTACGCTTAAACCTAAAACTTGATATACTTAAAGTCGTTCATTGACATTCTAACGCACCTGCATGGGTTGATGTGATGCTAAGACATACCTTTAGAGGGGACAATATAAATGGGAAAATACTAATTGGTCACTTGTTTGTAGTTGATCCCTCAGGTGAACAGGTGTGGTGGAGAAATAACTTAAAAATCTTTGCTACAGGCCTATAAGAAAGTAAAACTAGAACCACCATCAAAGTTTAAATAAAACAAGATAACTGATCTTCAGAGATGCGTTCTTTGGAGCAGATGCAGCATAGCCAGGCCGACATCTTTTTCGCAATACCTTCATAAAATGATAATGTCTTTTAAGCAATGACAACAAACATGAAACATGCAACTTCATGTAAAACTAATATTTATATTGGAACAACTGCATGTTAGCTCAGATAAAAAATAATGATGAAACAATGCAATGAAAAAAAAAACATTTATAAATATCAAATGTTAAATTTATGACAAATATATTAATTCATAAAAGTAAAAGATAATCCATTTAATGTTGGATGAGAGTTGGGCAGCAGGCGATCCCTGTGGATGGTTTCCTGATAACATGATGTACATTTTTCATGTCCTGTTACTATCACTGCAAAGCATCTTTGGGTGGGAGGTTTGGATTCTTACTTCTGGTTAAAGTTAGCATTAGATAAAACAATACATGCCAAGATTCGATCAATATCCAAAAGTTGTACAGTGACTGACTGAAAAAGTCATGGTTGAATCAGTGACTTTATGATCTTTTTTTTTTTTACGCAAGTTAAACGGCTCAAATTTTGTTTCCAAGTCAGGGAGGTAGGGTTAATCCTAAAATCTGATGGTGATTCAGAACAATAAATAGATGACCTTCACGATTGCCAAGCTTGCTGAAGAGCTCATCTTTCTGGTTCCTACCAGGGAAACGTACATCTCACAGTATTTTGGCACTAAATCAGCATCTTTCAATATGCAAGGAACTGTGAACCCAAACCCAAACTTTCAGTAAGTTGCTGGATATAAAAAGTCATGTCACTGTTAAAAAAGTAATTGTAAACATTTTTTAAGAACAGAACTGTCCGAGGTGAGAAGGGAGATCATTCCACTCATGACACGCGACATCCTTGTTTTCCTTTGTGTCGACCCTTAAAACCTGTGGATCAAAGGGCAGCAGGTCACTATATGAGATGAGATGCATGAACATCACTCCAAAATACTGAACAATTTTTTTAGATTAAGTTAGTAAAAGCAGCAAGGGAAACAGATTAATGCAACAAATGCTTCCTTTTCATGACTTACTCTCATTGTCATGTGCAGTGTTGACAGCTTGCTGGGACGTTGCTCTCTGGTTCTCTTGGGACTTCTTATTCTCTTTGGATGGAGATAATACGATCACCTCCAAACTATCCTCTACCTCGTCGCTCTGAGAGGTTTCTATGGGTGCAGGACCTGTGCTGGATCTGGGAGACAGCTTACTGGGAGATCTCCCCTTTAAGAACTTTAGCTTCCATGTATGCCGGCCCTTTTTGTCCTGCTTGGTTTTGACTGAATTCTTCAAAACTTCACTCGGAACTTCAGAGGGTGGCTGACTAACCCTATCCATCCTGTCACTGCTGGCCAGTCGAGGCCTCCCCTCATCTGTCCCTTCCGGAACCTCATCCAGAACAGACGCTCTCTCAGATCCCAGCTGCAGAGATCTTGCTGGAGGTGGAACATTCCCAAAGGCCAGTAAGTATTTGGGGTTGTAGTATTTGTGAGCGGGCACCTGGATGTCGGCCTTCCGCGAATCTCCTAAGCTGACCTGGAAGCGCGATGTGGTTGTTGGTAGTGGCGGCCGTTTGGGCTCCACTTTGGAGCGAACTGTGGTGGTTGTGTAACCCGCTGGTAGACTAACATGAAATTCCTTGTACAGGTCCAGTTTCTCAGAGATGGCATACAGCTGACGGAAATCCTGGTCAAAGAAGTCAACCACCTGTCCCGTCATCACAGTGATCATGTTGCGGTCCATACGAGATGTACACCAGGAGAAACTGGGACAGAGGCAGGATTAAAAACGGTCAATGACTTTGTGACTTTCTGTAAAACTGTGCTTGTTGAGTACGTTTCCAAAAGTAAGTCATTTAAAAAGACATTAAACATTTCATTACTTATGAGAGACTTTTCTTAGTTTATGGCTTAATAACTTCATAATCAAAAATGTTTATTGGAATATGAAAGAAGAGTTTTGCTGTAATTTCAACTCGGGAAATATGCACATAGACCTACCTGTAGGAGCCAAACATGACTTTGTCTCCATCGACCAGCATGTATTTATTACAGAGAGAACCAGGGAGTCTGCCGAAGGAAAGGCCGAAGCCAACACCCTGAAGAGTTCTGGCTCTGATGTTCTGCAGCAAAAACAAATGCCTGTCAGTCCATGCGCGGGAAACGGCACAATGTTAAAAATAGAAACAGCAGATTATGTCACTATGGATAATTGCCAAAGCCTTCAACACACCCAAACACCTGGTCCACCTGGTTCTGTCGCTCCCCTTCAGGATCAAATGTTTATAATAATGCCTCGTTATGAGGCCACCCTCACACAGCTGGATAGCTTAGTGGTAAAAACTACTGTCTTTGGAACAGCAGTTTGGGGGTTGAAATCCTGACCAGGGCAACTATCCGGTAAGGATACCCAGGCTAGGGGGAAATCACATCATCATCACATAATCAGGACTGCGGTCCTTTAGCTCCCCATGTATGTGTGCACTCCTACCCGAAGGTGCTGAGAGCCGATCTGAAGCCTGGAACACATATCCAGGAAGTGTGGCACACCTTGGTCATCTAACAAAATGTAAACTGGCACAGAACGACGCCAAGCCGCTTCCATCAGGTCCTGCAAGATCTGGACATCGGTGAGCATGTCCATCACAATGGCTATCACCTGCAAGAACACAAAGTGATTTGAATGTTTAATACAACGATGACTGCTTTTCAAACATACGTAGATCCAAGAATGGATCTACACATAAGCAAAGAAAAAAAAGTCCGAAAGTTACATCTACTCTGGTTCACATCCAACAGCCAAACATTCCAAAGAAGAGAGAAAATTACCAACTAAGTGCTGGAGGGCAAACTGCAAACAAGAAGGTGAAACTGTTCTTCCAAAATGAAAGTACAAATGCATTAACCTTTAAATGGACTCATTGGAAGGCCTCGGCTTCTGGTCCACAAAAGCAGAAGAAGCCACCAAACACGGCTGGTTTTGTTTAAGGAAAGATTTAATCGGCTTTTTTAGCTGGTGTGGCCATATTTAAACATGCTTATTTTTAGCTTAAAGAAAAAGAAGGGTGTAAAGTATGTCCTTTACCAAAGTCAACAATAAAGAGCTAAATGAGGGTGGACTATACAAAAGTCAATAAAGTCCAGCAGTCCAGGAGTAATGAGAGTGTTTACCTCCAGCAGAGTGTGCTTCTCTCAACACCATTTGAAGCCGAAAGGCCAATTTAACCCATCTCACCAAGTTTTCTGAACACAGCAAAGACTTGCTCAATACACTAGAGAAAGACTCTTTCATACCTTTGCATAAGGTCACATAATTATTGTTACTTTATCCAGGAGTGATGTTACAACCTGGAGAGAACAGGAGGGGAAAGCTACTTCAGGGCAGCAGGAAAGAGCCCTCTTTGACCAACAGACGATGGGCACCACCTACATGACGGCTGATGGTGACGCATAAGTAAACTAAACAGGGAGGGGTTGGGTTATTTCTCTGTGGCCAGCAGGCAATAAATGAGCTCCTCTGCTGAATAAGTTGACCTTTCAAGTGTGTGTTGAATTCTTTGGTTTCATTGTTTCCCCTTTTTTGCTCTCTTTGCTGCACACATACTGAATCAGCATTTGTAGGCAAGTTAAGGAATCTACTTGATCTCAAATGCCATACAATAGAGGTAGATTGCTTAGTGACCTGCATTGTCTATTAATTTGTTTGTATCCCATGACAATATAATTTAAAAACTGGTTGGTTTTTTGGAATAAATGACACTATGGGATGACTGTTACACATTCCTTCAAACATGTACAGACATGTTAAGTGCATTCTTAAGGGGGAGGTTTGGGAAAGTGACTGTGATTGTTCCACTGTTTCTTCTAAAGCTCAGTCATGGAAAAAAAATGGTCTCTTTTAATGTGCAACAAGTGGTCCTCTGTTAAACAGAGACGGCCTGCCGTTTCAACACAGAGGAAAAGTGCTGAGCAGGAGCCTGAGGGTAACAGAGCATAGTTGCATGGCTTATACAAGTTTGTTTTGTCACACACTTAATTAACAGTAAGCAGAATAATAAGAAATATACATATCCCCATCTGACAGCTCTGGGAAACATCCATAAACAAAAGAAAATGAAGTTATAGCCATATGATGCGAGAATAATTCATAAAGATACATCTGGATACATAAAATGTCTGCTCTGAATCCTGGATTATCATAAATACTATTACAAAAGGAAGTGATGAGCACCATGTATGCATATGTATACAGCTTTATGTCCCTATTGTAAATGGCTGTGTGATACACAGCAACCTGCCAATATCTTGTTTTACCACTTTCAGTCCTCCTGATTATCTGAAGTGTCTCATCACCAGAAAGAAGCACAATAAAATGTGGAACTGTGAGCAGGACAGCCAATAGAAAAAAAGTCAGCACAACAAGATTAAAAAGAAAAGAATAAAGCAAAGATAAAAGTATACACATATTTTCTTAAGAGGAAACATTGCAATAAGGACTATTCAAAATGGAGTAAGCGACATGTTCTGTTCTTCCTGACCTAGTTTTTAAGAGACAAAGTGAGGCAAAGTTTGAGCCAAGAGGAGCAAGTCACTGAGCAGGCGGAACAGATGACTCAGCTCAGCTTCAGCAGTCTCTCAGAAATATCCTTTCAGGTCTTCTGTTACCATTTGAAAAGTATTTATCACTTTTTTTTTAAAACACAAAAACAAAACAAAGGACTGGAAACTATACTACAGAGGTACAACAGCTAACTCAACACCGGCATTCACATCAGGGACTGTCACCCTAGCCAATTCGACTCCAATAAAAGGTTACAAATGACTACATGACAATCATGTTATGAGCAGCAGCATGCTTTCAATTTTGTGGCAACAACTTAGAAGAGGAATGTGGCAGAATGTTGAATGTGGGCTTTATCTTCCAACACTTCAGAAACTCAGTAACACTTTGGGAAACTCCTGCTCGGCAGGCTCCTGACTATGTGGGAAATTCACATATTACGCGATGACTGCAGGTTTACTGCCTCTGTCGTAAAAGTGCCTGTTTTAGAACGGTCGAAGGGAAATCCCTCACCTGTTAGGATGTTTTGTTTTCCGTTTTAAAAACAAACTAAACAAAATAAATAAGTCAACCCAAAATGGCTTTGTGTTGCTATTTTTGGAAGTCTGAATTAAATCCACTGCTGTGCTTCTTTGCCCGAGGACACAGGGCTCACTTTCCTGATGACAGGCTGTTGTACATCCGGTTCTGTTACCTGCTCGTGTTTAATGAAGTGTGTGTCATTATTAGAACTGTGGTCAAATGGAATTCCGTGATTGTTAAGAGCCACGATGACTTCCAATAGAGGCAGAGACACTGGCTGCCATGGTGAAATGAAACACACTATGTATCTTTACAGTAATTTAGAAACTAGTTTTCCCCCCACTGCACTATATGCATTATTGCCATGAATATGACACAAACGTTCACTCTTTCAGCAGTTACAGGAAAACACTTCAATAACAGAAAACTACACTTGTTCGAAAAGTTTAAAAAAGGACACTTCACGGTCCTCGTTGACGCCCCCTCACCTTGCTAGCCTCCTGGATGAGACGTCTAACAACCGCCTTGATGTGAGGTCCGTTGTCTTTGGGTGGGTGTGTGTGGACAGCCACCCGGGTCACCCCTTTGAATAAAGACCCGCCGGGCCAGCCGATGTCCAGCGGCGGGACCTCGGTGTCCGACATCTGGGGCCAGTAGGTGGAATGGACCCCGGAATCTGCATCGGCTCCGCGGGGTTCTTCCTCGGAAGCTGGGGGAGATGCGTTTCCACCGCCGCTGTCGCCGTCCTCGTTATACTGCCTGAAAGTGTTCAGCAGGAGCTTTATTTCCCTCGCAGACAAGAAGTCTTTAATTTTGTCTTCTTTGAGCCGTGTTTTGAAAGCACCGTCGCCATTCTTCAGAAGTTCCTCGATGGCCGCGCGCTGCTCCTCGCTGTAGTAAAACTCCGGTTTGGACTCCGGGACTTTGGCACCGATTTGCCCGTCCTCCATACACACGAGCTGGGACTCAGCCATGGTTGTGGAGAGCGTTACTCCTTCTGGAGAGCGCAAGCAACCCTCAAACCACCGTCACCTAGTGAGTCATTAGCCGTGTCACTGCTCAGGTGAAGGAAATCTGCCAAAGTGCTCTTACCTGACCGCGTGAGAGCGAAGGTGCGGCTTTACCAAGTAATCACGATGCCTTCACGTGATGGTGGAATAAATGCGACTTGAATGTTTCTGGAATGGTAATCATGTTTGCTGTGGTTCAGAGACTGGTTTGTGTTTATTCAAAATTTGAACAATAATACGCACATCAGATTTAGATTATATTGGAAAATCTCACATGATCTCTACGTATCCAGGAAAAGTGACATAGGAACATGTATTGAATTAGCCACATCTGTGTGTTCTGAGGGGGTCTCTTAAAGTATATTCTTTATTTATTTTATATATTTTTAAAAATTTGCATGGTGGATATGATAAAAACGAACTATTATTTTAAATATGATCTAAAAGAGTAGGAATTCTGAACAGAGTTTTCAAATTACAGACGGAACATGAATGAAACAGGAAAGACTGGGGAGGGTTGGAGTTATATGGAATTACTGAATGGCCTTTACAATGCTTTTATCTGTGGCCTCCTTATGTTTAATAATAAACCATCTGGCTCAATACAATTTGCAAAGGGGTGTGTTATTTGGCCCTATGTGAGAGTACGCGTGGCTGCTTTTCTCTTTTTAGATTGACTGTCGAACTGTCCAGTTTTTACATCCCCGCTCAGCCATTAACAGCTGGGAAATGCTCCAGCTTTCAGTGACAATTAATTGTAAAGATAGAGATGGATAGAATGTGTATAGAATAGATAAGAAAATATTGAATGACAACACACACCTTAAAAAATAACTGAAATAGTTTTGATTTGTGCATTAGGATGGATCATTGGGCAAAAGTGAGTTACTTTTTCTGGAAAGAGAACTCATTCTACTGTAATGAAATCTGTCTTTCTTGTAGGGAGATGGGAATCCACTGTACAACACCTGACTGTGAACCAACCTGAACCAACAAGTTTTTCTTCTTTTCTTAACATTCTGAACAGCTGATAAACAGCACACTCTTTCAGTTACAAGCTCAGTATCAGGTTGTCATGGAGAATGATCTGACTCTAGCTGGGTCTTAAAAATCAAGTCAACCTAAACTAAAAACAATTGCTTGTTTAATGGTGTTAAGAATTTTCAATCAATGAAGTAGACATTTTGGCAGCTTGATCACAGGTGTGACTCTGAAAATGAGGAAAGGGATAGGTTGTGATGGTTCAATCAAAGCCAAATTCACAAAGCTAAGCAGAAGTTTCAAATTTGGCATTTTTTCAGATCTCTAAAGTGTCATGTCTGAATATAAAGAGGGATTGCTTAAATTAAACCATCTTGTTAACCTACTGTTGTTTCATTTTAATTTAACTGTAATTTGGATCACACTGTTGCATTTCAGTGCTCCAGAGGTACTTTTAAAACTCCTGCAGGTATCCTGAGTCATTCTATTAAGAAATCTAATTTTTAGGAAATGTAGATCATATGATGTACATTTTAACATTTTAAACTATCTATAAAACATACATAATGATATTTTAAAAGGACATGGTTTTTGTCAAAGAAATACAGGGTTAGGTTTACATTTTATTTTATGAAGTTGAACATTGCGTGGCACATTGAATGTTACTAAACCAAAAAAAAGGTGAGAAACTCAGACTAAAACTGAGGAGAGACAAATGCAAAAGACTTAAAATCCTTCTCGTGACTGTAAATGGATGGTGAACCTGAACAAGACCCCTGATTTCCATAGATAAGGCCTGCAGTAGTGTAACTTGGCCACTAAATGGCAGCAAACTGCCAGATATTAAGACGTGTAGAATTTTAGATGGGTTTTTTCTTATTTCTTTTAACCTTCTCATATCAACATAAGCCTTTATGAGACTTCAGAAATTTGCCAGCCAACAGGGCTGAAACTGAATTAATAAAATATGTTTTTGACTTCTGGTTTTTCTTATCTTATTGCTTTGGCAAGCCAGAAATCAATCTCAATTCTGGTATGAGAACATGCTCCGGAACTAATGCATTAGTATGGTGAGATATATTTATTTATAATGACTGAAATAACTCAAAGTTTACCAAGTTACACCTCAGTTATATGAGACATATTGTAATTCTACTGCTTTTTTTCTTGCTTTGTGCCCAAAAATGTAAGAAAACTCTCATATTGATTTCACGCGTAAAGTTAGGAAATGACCATTAAGTCAAAAGAATTTAAAATAGTGGTTTAAAAAAAAAGAGAAATAGAGGACCAATAACACTCAAATGAAATTAGACAAAACAACACACATGAAGCATGCAAGTCAGAAAGTGATGGATATAAGGACAGAATATTCCAAGGACAGAATAAATACTGCCACCATCAACACCCTGTCCGTTTGTCTCTTTCTTTTTCTCTGATATTCTTAGTCAGTCTCAGTGGTTGGCCCGCCATGAATACTCACAACCCCATGTGGTGTCAGTGGGGGCTTCATCATGTGGCTAAGCTGAAAAGCAGTGCAACTGGAAAAAAAAAACAGGTTCTAAACAATCAGCACTCCTACAATGAGGTGACTGATGAATAGACCCTGTGTAGCCTTGCAGATATTCTTTTTATAATTCCAAGGGAATCACATGCTTCTTTGTAAATGTTGCCATGGTGACCTACAGCTGTATGTCCATTGTTATGCACCCTATAACGGTTATGATCAGAAAAAACAAAGCTAAACAAAAAAAAAACATGTGTACCTGTTGAAATGAAAAGTGTTGTCATGGAACACTGTTGACTGTGATATGCTGTTACCCATTGAACGCCACATATGCTTTCATGATTGTGCTTTTGAAACACTGTTTAAACAGGCTGGACAGACTTTTTTTAATCATTAAAAGACTAATTTACTCTCTTGGTCATGTGAGACTATGCACACGTTTCCATTTTCTATTAATAACATTAGCAATAGGAGTTATGTGATGTTTTTAGATAAAAAATCTGTAAGCTTGATGGCAGTTCTACCTTAAGTTTGGCGTCCCAAACTCTATATTAGTACGACATCCATCTTTTCGAAAATAAAATCAAAGACGAGCTCAGATCATATCATCTGCTCATGCTTGTCTGAACGAACGAAATTATTGACCCACGTTTACAGAGCCTGAGTAAAAGTCTTTCTGTTAAGGTTCTTTTTAAAAGTAAGAATTGTAGGACTGAGATATCATACTGACATTTCAATGCTTTTTTTTTTGGGTGCTCAAATTCAATTCACCTCCCTGAGCTGAAGTCCTGCATGTTTCCTGTCTTTGAAAAATCCAAACTCACATCCAAAGTCACAATTCAGTTTCCATTAAAGCGTCTTTGTCAGTCAACCGTGCGCATGTCAGTAACCTTAAATAAAATCCCCATCACCATGACAACAGTTCTCATTTCTGTCCTGTCTTTGCAAACACTGTAGGAGAGATGCTGATTTTAATATAATTTGGTTGACTCACAGCAAGACAATGAATCAGAACTGGTGGATATCACGGAGAATGCGAGGGATGGAGGAACATAGATACTGCACAGATCCAGACTTGCACGGGGACAAATGTAATGTCCGTGCACTAACAAACACACAGGGCACCTGCCAGGAGATGAATAATTCAGCAGAACAGATGTGTTACTGAGGGCAGCTGTGTGCAGAGTGCACCCTGTGAGACTTACAACTAAACATTAGATTGCTCTTTCTGTCTTTTACTGCCTGATCACATTTTTTCCCTTACAATCCTTCTAATGTGCAATATACATATAACATGTTGAACATTTCTATAGAAGCACAAGTAGTTGAAAACATGCACTTGAGGTCTAAACATCTGACATTGCATTTTGTCTCATCAGTAATTAGTTATTTTTTACAAACCTTGTTGCAGCTGCGAATTTAATGTTAACAAAGGGGAATTGATTTATTAAAATAATTCACTAAGTGCTCATCTACTAACCGTGAGTTTTAACCGAGCTGTGTCTAAACAGGAAATGTAGATTTTTACATAGCAAACTGCTCTCAAAGTTTTGAGATGTAGTTGTTCCAGAAGGCGGCATATTCCAGGTAATTGGAATAGAAGTGGAAAGACAGCATAGGTTAGACAGAATTGTTGACTGTTTTTCAAATATTTTGGTCTTTTGTTGCCGGTTTCACTGGACCTTGGCTGTAGGGTGATAATTGTAGCAGCTTAACTTTCTGCAGAGGGGTCTGGTGATGTGTTTTTTTTTCAATCAGCTGATCTTAGATCATGTTTACATTTTTTTTTGTCCAAATTTGTTTACCTACCCTTTGATTGTTTGTTGTTCAAACTGTGTTTTGTGGTTGTAGAACCTTTCATGAGCATTAAGCGGGGAGTTCCTATGGGTACTAAATTTATCTTTGTCTATGTGTTTTATAGGGGTTGATTAATTTCTTATGTTTAGTTTTTTAAATCAATAATGTTCTCGCTTTATCTTGTGGGTCAAGAGAAAGATTTCCACACCCGACAACCAATTTAATGGTAAAAATTGTGGGTTATTTGTATAATTGTTTGAGTAAATGTTGTTTTGCAAAGCTCAATAAATAGGGAGACATCAGAACAAAAAAAGCAAGTTAATTACGTAACGTAAAGATGAGGGATGGAGAAACTAATTTGTTGATTTTGGCAGCAGAAACATGTCACTGAGCTATCAGCCAATTAAGGAATGCGTTGTTGCAAACAATGCAACATTTACTGCTGGAGCAGGAGCCACATAAATCCCAAACAACCAGGTTAAATACAGTTACAGGTGTTTTTCTGCCCAGTAAGGGATAAAGGAAATTGGTTTGGTGAGTTTGAGCAAAGGAAATTGGAATCAGGAGCTTTTCACAAATAAACAGACCGAGAGCAAATTGTAAACAAAACGCTGTTTAAAAGCAGCTGAGGGAAAGAGACAGAAAGAGCATTTTTAATCAAATACAGGATTCATTTTAGCAGCTCTAAGCACACACAACTGAAGATGAGGCTTCTTCA